TCGTAAAAAATAGAAAAGCCACAGTAATGTTTCCAATTGTCAACTAATGCATTCTGCTTTGTTGCTTGCCTTCATTGTACACCTGCATTTCAGTACCTTTGCACTATTGAGTACACTACTGTTCTTGTAGCTTACAAACATGAACTAGAATAGACCCTAAAAGCCGGAACGGTGGAATGGCGAAACATGACCCCAAATCCCAAAACATGGAACGGCGGAAAATGACCCCCAAGTCTAAAACACGGAACTGATGTCAAGGCATGTTATACGAAGTTTATACAAAGACACTCAAGCGCTTGGCTCATTCATCCCTTCGGCGATAACGCACGTGACTAAAATTAAGTGTTATCAATTTTTTTCTTTTAGTAAGTGATATGAATAATAATGAACCATTTCACACGAAAGATAGTTGCGTTTTCGCGCTGTAAACCTGTTTAGTTACCTTTGTTATGCTAGATTTGCCATGAATTTAGTCGCGGCATACCACATTACAATAAACAACTGTAACTTTGATACCTTTCCCGGTCACGTCTGCATTGATTTAATGAAACAGAAATATCTCAAGTACTTGTATATTTGAGAAAATCACAGGAAAGTTTTCAGCCATCTCAAATTATAACGACGTTCAGTCCCAGCTCCAAACTTAGACTAGCGTGAGAGCAAGCCCTCGTTACGAGCCCTCGTTACGAGCCCTTCGATACGATCGAGCGTTTCTGCGTCCACGAATAAGTTTTGGGCATTGAGTAACACTAAGTGAAGAGAGGTTTAGAGTGGTCACGCGAGTGGGAATTTCTCATGGCGTGAAAAGAAAAAAGAATTACAATTCCCTTTCAGGAGGGGCAGTTTAAACGCCATAGAGTTTGCGATTTGCTGAGGAGCAGAAGAAATCCACAAAACAAATTGGTGGATTAGCCTCTGTTTTGTTCGTAAATTTCATAGTAGGATGGTGGTGTTTTGGGCACCTGGTCGCGAAGAAATTCTTGAAATTATTCTTGATTGCTTCCTTCTGCTAACTTTCTTTTGTCTTTTCACGCCATGAGAAATTCCCACGCGCGTGACCCCCTGCAACTTCTCTTCACCTAGCGTTACTCAAGGCCTAAAACTTATTCGTGGACGAAGAAACGCTCGTATTGAATGACTC